GTCCAAGTCACTAATAAAGAAATTGAACAGCACGGGGCCAAGGACCAAGCCCTGGGGGACCCCACTGCCCACTTCCCTCCAGGTCGAAAAAGACCGGTCCACCACCACCCTCTGGGTGCGACCCTTCAGCCAATTTGCAATCCATCTGACTGTGTAGGCATCAATGCCACAGTCACCTAGTGTTTCAATGAGAATGGGGTGGGAGACCGTGTCAAAGGCCTTGCTGAAGTCCAGAAAGACTACATCCACCACGACACCTGCGTCCAGTGCTTTTGTGACCTGATCGTAGAAGGCAATCAGGTTGGTCTGACATGACCTGCCCTCGTGGTGCATGACTCGTGGTGCATGACTTCAGGGCTCCAAGCTGGGAGGTCACAGTCCCTCTGCTCTGTCTCCCACAGGGCACTGCCAATGCATGCACCACACCGAGGGTCCCTCCTGCGAGCGCTGTGCCCCCGGCTTCCATGGCAACCCCTTCGTGGGGCACATCGATGACTGCAAGCCATGCCCGTGCCCCGGCGGGTCGCCCTGCACAGAGATCCCGGAGAGCGGCGAGGTGGTGTGCACCCACTGCCCATCGGGGCAGAGAGGTCAGGTGCTGCAAGGGAAGGGGGGCAAGTAATGAAGCCTGGGGCAAAGAGAGGTTGGCAGGTGGATGGAGAGACAGGGGCAAAGAGGTGCAAGGGTGTGACAGCATGGAGGGAGGTGGTGAGGCCTGGGTCAAGGATAGATTGGCAGGCAGATGGGTGAAGTGTTGTGATAGCAGGGGGGCATGTGATAATGCCTCGGTTAAGGACATACAGCTGACGGACTGACTGAGTCCCACGCACTGTTGCTCCCCCCTTCCCCCCTCCAGGCAGGCGCTGTGAACTCTGTGACGATGGGTTTTTCGGTGACCCTGTGGGACGGGACGGCCCCATCCACCCTTGCAGCCCCTGCCAGTGCAACGGAAATGTGGACCCCAACGCCGTGGGCAACTGTAACCCTGTCTCTGGCCGGTGCTTGAGGTGCCTGTACAACACGACAGGAGAGCACTGCGAGAGGTGCCAGGAAGGCTTCTATGGGAGCCCGCTGGCTAGCAGCCCCACCGGGAAGTGTGCCTGTGAGTACGGCTCCCCCTGCCCCATCCTGCCAGGCCTTGCCCTTCCCAGAGCCAGGGTCCTGCTCCTCAGAGCCCACTTAGCTGAGAAAATAGGCATGCCACCATCTTAACGGGTGCGAGGGGGAGCAGCAGCCTTGGAGGGGCACATAGGCTGCACCCATTGCCTCCAGGACCGGAGACTGAGCACGGAGGGGAGATATGACACGTTTAAAGGCAGGCAGCGAGTCAGCGGCAGAAGGGAGCTTAGGACCTAGGAGTCCTGATGGTCAATCCCCTGTTCTAGCCTATTGACCATAATCCCCCCCAGAGCTGAGATGAGAACCCAGGAGCCCGTCTTCCCAGGCCCCTCTGTAGACACCAAGGTGGGCGGCTGGTTGAGCCTGAAATTGCTGCAAAGCGCCGGGGTCTCCACCACTGAGTGATTGCTGTCTCCCCTAGCTTGCAGATGTGATCCTGGCGGTTCAGCCCAGGAGCTGGAGACCTGTGATCCCATCACTGGCCAGTGCCCTTGCCTCCCGCACGTGACTGGGCGAGACTGCAGCCGCTGCCAGCACGGATACTATGACCTGCAGCCAGGGACTGGATGCAAGAGGTAGGCTGGATCTGGAGCTTCTGTCTGGTGCCTGAATATCAGTGCCTTGGGCACGGGAGATCCCCCCAGGATGCGGTGTGATGGATGTACAGTTCACACGGCTCCTTCTAGGCCTGCACCTCCCACAAGGGACAGCTATGGGAGCTGGGTCCTGCCAGCCTTGCAGTGGATCCTTGATCATGGAGCCCCAGAAATGTGCAGAGCAGGCAAGCAGCAATGGGCTTCGTTAGCATGGTTAGGTCAGATGCTCCCACTGAGGGCAAGCAGGCAAGGGGACATTCCCTGGGCAGGTGGTGGGAGCAGCGTGGGGTGCAGGCTAGGCAAGTGTTTGCCTGGGAGGGTTCAGAAAGGGGTGATTCTGTCACAAGCAAGGGGTTGGACCTGGCTGATGGGCCCTTCTGGCCCTACGGTCCGATGGCTTCCACTGAAGGTCAAGGCAGGGGCACGGGTGTCACCTCTTGTCACCTGGTCACTTTAGGGGTTGCTGCTGTTTTGACCCGAAGCCAGCCCCACCCTGCAGGGGTCCATAGGGACTGGCTTTCTCTTGGAGGGAGCTGGCACGGGGGGAGCCCAGGCCCTGACGGGGTGGTGGGCATGCAACTGGCACGGCGGCTGTTTCTGCTCATCCTCTTCCATTTCCTCTGTCCCAGCTGCAAGTGCAACCTGGTGGGTTCCCAGGACAGCCAGTGCCACCTGCTCACGGGGCAGTGCCCCTGCCACCCGGGTGTGGAGGGGAGGCCATGTGACCGCTGCCAGCCTGGCTTCTTTGGTTTCTCCATGAAGGGCTGCCGAGGTAACGATGACAACGATGGCCTGCATGGTGCTGATGTCAAAGCGTGGGGGGTGGCTGGTGCAGAGGGGTCTGAGGCACTGTGCTGTGGGAGCCCATGGTCTGGCATGGTGGGGCTGGCTGCAGTGGGAGAACCCTGGTTTGTGCCCTTCCTGGGTCTTACCCCTGCCCCACAGGTCTCTCCCTCTGCCCGTGGCAGCTGCCCACAAGAATAGCCCAGTCCCAACTTGACTGAGCCCAGCGGGCAGGGGGGAGTCAGGGGAAGGAGACCCTCAGTGCCTCTGGGGTCTTGTTGCATGCCCTGAGTCACATCGCGTGGCTCTCTGTGCCCCAGAAGCCCCTCTGGGCAGGGGCTGTAGGAGCCCTGGCCCAGGCACTCGGGCTCGTGTTTGTGAAGTGCTGGGGAAGAGGCACTAGGAAGGGGCAGAGGCAGCTGTGAGCCTTTGGGCCCGTGCTTACCACGGTTGTGTAAATCTCCTGCTGTGTGTGCCACTGTTTGCTTCACCCTGACCCCAGCAGGGTGGGGAGCAGGGTCTCTCAGGGTAAGCAGTGCCTGCCCCAGCCCTCGTTTGTGGCTCCAGTTCTCCCGGTGACACGGATGTCGGCCAGTCCGACCTTGCTTGAGCGCCTGCTGCGTGCTCCTGGGATCTCTCTGCCTTGCTTGCAGCCTGCCACTGCTCCCCGCTGGGCTCCGCCACCCCCCAGTGCCACGAGAACAGCACGTGCATCTGCAAGCGGGGTTTCATGGGCTACAAGTGTGACCAGTGCCAGGTGAACTACTACTACGACCAGGAGCAGGCCCAGTGCCAGGAGTGTCCTGTCTGCTACAGCCTGGTGCAAGACGAGGTACGAGCCCTCCCTCCTTCACCGACCCTGCCCAGCCTGGGCCCCAGCCCCAGCTGCCATCCTCTCTCAAGCCCCCTGCTCCCCTCATAGGCTGACAAGCTGAGGACCAAGCTGCAGAAGATGGAGGAGTGGCTGCAGAAACCAGACTGCAGCAGCCCCCAGCCCCGTTCCCCAATGCTGGGAGAGGAGCCGCGTGGAGACAGCCTCCCTAGTCGCTACCTGCTGCAAGGTGGGGGCAGAGGAGCAGGGCTGGCATCTGGTGTCCAGGCAGGAGGGGGTGGGATGTGGCATAGGCACAGCCCCAGAGGGATCTGGGTACAGATACACCCCATCCAGGGCATCCCCTGTTGGCGCTCCAGTCTTCCTCTCCCATCAGCGAGGGCCCGGCTTGATGGCCTCTGTGCTGCGTGCAGGTGCCAAGGCGATGTTCCTGGAGCAGGTGGCCCAGCTGGAGGGCTCGGTGAGCGCCGCGTGGGGTCGGCTGAGGAACGCCAGCGGGGCCGTGGGCTGTGCCAGCAGCGGGAGTGACAAAACCTGCATCTTGCTGTCAGAGATCAGCGCCGTGCTGCAGTCCGCGCAGCAGGAGATCCAGCAGGCTGCCGACACGCTAGCGACAATGGTGCCCAGCTCCAGCCCAGCCCGCTGGGCATCCCTCTCTCTCTCCCCTACCCCTGAGTGACTTGAAGTTGCCCTGGCTCCCTTGTGGGACAGGTCCAGTCCTACCTGGGCTCCGGTCCGATCCTCAGGCAGGCAGGGTGCTGGCCATGTGAGCTAGGTCCTGGTGTGGGAGCTGGAAGGAGCACCCTGCACCCCATCCAGGGGCAGTGCTCTGCCTTATGGCTTTGTGGGGGTGCCACGGGACAGGTGGGAGCAGCAGCCTGGCGAGATGCCTTTGACTGTGAGTGGCAGGCCCCAGGCTGCGGTGCTGTTCCCAGGGGGAGGTCTGGGCCCTGACTCCTGGGATTTCACTTCTGTTTTCTGTCCGTGTTCCTAGGTTTTCCCTCAAGAGATTTCAAAGGAGCCCACAAGCTGGGGCCGCCTGGCGCTGGAGTCCCGGGCGCTAGCGGAGAGGTACGCGATGGCTGCACATCTCCGCTGGCTTGTCTGCGGTCCGCGTGCTCTGATCCTGCCCTGTCCTGAGTCCCTGCCAAGACCCTGGCCCTGTCTACAGCCCCTGCTCCTGCTCATCTCTGCACCCTCAGTCTCATGCCCCTTCTCACACTGCCCCTACGTTTTCAAGCCACCCTGGTCTACAAGGGCTCGGCGCTCCATCAAGTGTGTGCACCATGTGGCACTACCCCATGTGCCCTGGGCATCGTGTCCTGCTATGGCAGCAAGGTGCTGTGCCCACCTGTCTACCCCGTGCTCTCAGGGATCTCTCAGAGCTCCTCTGATGCTGTGGTGGAGACCAGGCCAGACAGGAAGCCAGCTCAGCTCCCCAAGGCAGGCAGGTAGTTGGTGCCCTGCCTTCCTCAAGGAAGAACTTGTGGTCTCATTGCTAAAATCCTCTCTCTCTCTCTCTCTCTCTGCTCTTGTCCCTGCAGCCACAGGGTGACAGCAGCACAGGTGGAGTCTGTAGCTAGGAGAGCGCTGCTGGCTTCCAATGCCAGCTATATCCTGCTGCAGAGCATCCTGGAGGACAGCTCAACCCTGGAGGCCAGGAGTGAACTGGAGGACAGGTGAGAACTTGGCAGCGTCTGCGGGAATTTGGTGCAGGATTGTGGGCATGGACAGCACCCTGCCGGTGTGACTCAGCCCTGGCCCGGGGGGAGTGGGGAGCTCTGTCTTCTTGGCCCATTCCTCCCTTGGCCCCTCTGCTGAGCCTGCCAGCTGGGAGGGGCCCATTGTGGTGATTTTGGGATGCCAGCACCTGTCTGCATGGAGCTGGACTGAAACCATCCCAACTTGTAGCGTCGGGGGGGGACAGGCTGATCAGGGGTGGCATCTCCTGTTGCTGCAAACCCCCAGGATCGGGGAGGGAGGGGAGGAAGAGGAGCTCAGAGAGTGCACTTAGGGGAAAGCCCAGGGTGGCCTTAGGTAGTGCTGGCTCCCAACCGCTGTCAGTCTGCAGTACACTCAGCACTTGCAGCCTGGAGGCGCTGTCCCCCAAGGCAATTCCCAGAGCCCTCCATTGCTGGCCAAGCCCCAAGTCACACTTTGCTCTGGCTACCCCCTTCTTTTTAGGTACCAGGAAATCCAGCAGGCCCAGGAAGAACTGGCTGCCAGTGCGCTGGAGGCAGTGACCGAAGCCAAGAAGGCCTTTACATCCGTCCGTCAAGCCAATGCAGACATGGCCAAGAACCTGTCATGGTGGAAAGCCCCAGAGCTGGTGGGCAGCAAGTACAGTGCCTCGTGGGAGTAGGGCTGGGGTGTATCGCCCATCTGCTTTCCCCGTCCTGCCCGGCAATGGGTCAGTGTGGGCACCTGGGGGTGGAAGGAGAGCTGGGTGTCTGTGGATGAGATACTTATGAAACCCATCAGCACGGCGTGCATGTTTTGGTGTCCTTATATTCCAGTGGGGGTCAGGGGGGAAGTTATCAAGGGCCACCAGAGACAGAGGGGCTTGCGCTGTCACCTAGTCCAGTGTTTCTCAACCTTTTTTGTACCAGGACCCATTTGTGAACATTGATGGCCAGTCTTGAGCCAGTGCCCCTCAGTCCTGACCCACTGCCCACTGACTCCAGACTCCAGCCCCCCAGTGTGTGCTGCAGGGAGTTGGTGTGTGAAGCATGAGGGGGCTAGGTGCACTCTCTGAGCTCCTCTTCCTCCCTCCTTCCCTGATCCTGGGGATTCGGAGCAATAGGAGATGCCACCCCTGATCAGCTTGTTCCCACAGCCCCCCCTGACGCTACAAGCTGGAGCCCTCAAACGGGAGCTGGAGGAGCTGGAGCAGACGGTGGAGGAGAAGGGGCATCTGGCTGTTGAAGCATCCCATGCTCTGGCAGCTGCCTCGCGCCTGGAGCTGCAGAAGGCTCTGCCGTTTGAGCAGGTGAGTACGCTGAGCGGCTGTCTGGTGGCAGCTGCCTCCCACGTATCTCTACATCAGCTGCAAATTTGGGGGTGGGAGAGAATTGCAGAGCACAGCAGCACAAACCAAGGCTGGCAGAGGGATGAAGGGGTTTCCTCCTGCAGCCAGCCTGGGCAGGCAGAGCCCTGTGCAAGTGCAGCCCCAAGGACTGCCCCGTCCCCTGCCTGGCACTAGGCCCTGTGTTGCAGCATCAGGAGACCCTCTGGCCATGGAGACTTGGGTGAGCCCTGAGGCACTTGTGATGTCCCTCTTCCAGTGGGATCACACCTGCAGCTGAACGCACTCCGGGAGCAAGGGGTCGAGGGCAGTGAAGACAGTGGATATTTCAAAGGGAGATGTTCTTCCCCTGGGAAAGCCAGGGCTGAACTTGGATGTCGGTCTTCTCCCCAGGGCCTTGCAGAGGCAGAGGGTCACCCTGCAGTGGGTTCTGCCCCCCGCCACCTCTGTATAAGAAGCCCATGCATTCAATAATCAGGTGCACACCCCAGATCTCATGCCTGCCTTGCCTTTCCCCTGCAGCTGCGAGAGCAGGCAGATGCAGCTCTGACCCTGGCAGTCTCTTCCATGTCGCATGGGAAGAACGTGGTTTCAGAAGCCAAAACCCTGCTGTCCAACCTGGAAGGTATAAACCACTGCCTACAGCCTTCCCCTCCATCCCCTCTCGCCTGGCCAGTGCTGGAGGTGGGAGGGTAGCTTTGGCTCTGTTGGGTCCTCGGGGATTATTTATGGCTCAATGAAGGGAAGCCCTGTAACCCCAGAGGAGGACGTACAGGCTTCAAAGTGTGTGTGTGTGTGTGTGTGTGTGTGTAACAGCATCAAGCAAAAGCTTTTCTTCACACACTGTTACAATAAACGCACCTGCAGACCCGCGCTCCTGCACATCCGTCTGCAGGCCTTTCCCTAACCCAATCACAGTCTCTTAGTCCTAGCCCCAGTTTTGGGGTTTACGTTCTCAGTTCATTCACTGTCGTTGTCGCTGTTGCTGTTGCGGTTGTTTCCGCTGCCCAGAGGAGGACATACAGGCTTACTTTGTCTGACAGGGTCCCAGGACAGAGAGAAAGAGAAGGAGAGGGAGAGAGACTGCCTGCCTCTACCCAAGAGAATCACTTTATGGGAAAGCTAGACAACAAATTAACTAGCCTTCAGCTGGGGCAATGGGAGTGCCCAAACAAATGCCCAGCAGAAGGGATTTAGGTGATACCAAAATCTCTGAGCTCTTTCTCAGTTCCTCCAGTCATCAAGCCCTCAGGGCCTGAATTCCTCATCCTCCCCCCCACGGCTGTTCCTCCCCTTCACAAGCACAGATGCATAATCATTAATGGCATGCATCTAGCTATGCTTGGATTGCGCATATGTTAATGAAAGGCGTTGGTCTTGAAGACACCCCCTCCCCTGTTAAGTGAAAAATTTATGGTAACGCTCCTCATTCACTGATTAATAATGACCCTTTACCTGTGAGAGGTTATCAGTTAAGTTTCAGCTCTTTTAACACTCCTTGTAGTAATGGGTTTCAATTACTTTGTGTGACGGTGGTCAAGAGCTTCTGGTTCTTCCTGTCGGACTCAGTGAAAAATAGAGTCCGGCCTTGGGAGTCTGCCGTTACGCAAGGTTATCCCAGTATTTCTACTAGTTTAGTTATACATTTACAGCCACCTTGTGTGGGTGGAGATGCTTATGCCAAAGCCTGTAGGGCAGTGACTTTCATTTGTAGATCCCTAAAAAATTTCGAATGGAGGTGCAGACTCCTTGGGATTGAAAGTGTGGGTATTCATATACATTGATTGATCATAGTCATCTTACATGGACCCCTTAATTAGTCTGCAGACCCCCAGGGGTCTGGGGACCACAGGTTGAAAACCACTGCTCTAAGGGCGGTTGGAGGATGCTGAGTTCTTGGTCTGGTTCTGCTGGGCTTGGCTCTCTCTTGCTGTGCAGATCAGGATGGCTCCAGGAGGCTCCTGGGGTGTCCTGGGAGGGTGAAGGACAGGGCGTGTATCCTTCTGTGTCCGCAGGGGCAAAGAAAGCGCTGGTGCGTCAGAGGAGCCAGGCCACCCTGAGTAGGAAGATGGCGATGGTCCGGGACAGAGCCATCACCGATGCCCAGAGGAAAATCAAACAGGCAGAGAGGATGCTAGGAAATGGTCCATCTGTTTCCGCCACGGCCAAGAAGACAGTCATAGAAGTGGAGAGAGTCACAAGGGAGAGCACCAAGGTCTGAGGGGCTCAACTGGTGTGGAACCAAGGGGCAGCAGGGCCTCAGGAAGGTGTTTGGGAGTAAAGTGACCCCACCATGGGCAGTGGAGATTAATTACGGTTCTCCATGGGGCCTCAAACTCACAGCGCCTTTGCACTCAAGTCTGGTTTGGATCACTTTTCTTGGAGGGACAGGCCAGCGCACAAACCCCCCAGCTCAGCACCTTCCCCCTCACAAGCCCTTGACTACCTTCATGGGGGAAGCGACCTGTTGGATCTCGCTAAGATTTCCTTCCGTCCGACCTACCTGGCTGCAGGGCTGCACCCTCCTTTTCTCAGAGCCTGAGGCCAGAAGGCACCATTAGGACATCTGTCTGCCTCATATCACCCAGCTGTGTTGGCATCCTCAGTGCCAGGGTGTCTCAGCCACCGTGGGGCTGGAGGTGGGGAGGGGAGTCATGCAGGACAAACTCTGAATACTCCCTTCACCCTCTAACCCATGCAGAGAGCACAGGCATTGCTGAGGGAGGGGAAGCAGGAGCACAGGCATAGCCGTGAGCTTGCCAAGCGCGTAAACCGGACCCTGCTGGAACTCTCCAGGCAGGAGCGGGCATCTGAGAAGCTCTGGGGTGAGCTGGAGCAGGCCGGACAGGTGAGCCATGTCCCGTGGTGCTGCAGGTGACAGCCCCTCGTCTGTCACCCACACCCTGTCCCCGCTGCCCACAGAGGTGTTGCGAGGTCAGGCATGAAGCTGGAAACCCCGACAAGGTCTATGTGTTGTCTGCAGCACTGGGGAGAGACCTGAGGGGCATTGTAGCATGCACAGTACCAGGCTCTGAAGTATTCCTGCATGAGGTCTTTCCCTTGCAGAGTGCCAGGCATACCCCTTCAAGGGGGTCACCCGTTGGCATAGGCAGCAAGATCCTCCCATACAGGGGTGTCTTGGGCATGGCTGATGCCCGTTGTCTGTGTTGGAAGGTGCAGCCGGATGTCAGCGATGCAGACAAGAGTCTCCGAGAAGCCCAGCGCTTGCTGGAGACGGACATTCAGACCCTGAACAACCTGCTCAGCAGCCTGGGTAAGACCATGCCACTGGCAGAGGCTGTAAATGCCTTCACAGCTCTGCTGGCTACCCTCAGGCAGCAAATGCTGCTGGGGGACCCTGATGTCCTTGAGCCCGGAGAGCTTTCTGATCATGGCACCAGGTCCTAAGGGATCCGTGTCCTCACAGGATCTCAGTGGGAGGGGAACCCTCCTGCAAGGCTGCTCTTACTGGAATGCACTGGCAAGATCCTCCTTCTCTGAGCCAAGGTATCCAAATGTTCCCGTGACCTCCAGGAGGGCGCTGGCTGATGTGCTGTCCACACCCAGAGCTGTCCTTACTCCCAGCCCCATACTGGCTCTGCATTGTTTTCCCCTGGGGGATTGCTGTAACTTGGGTGGAGCCTCGAAGAAGGCAGCCAGCAATGAGTCAGGGTCCTGGGAAGCCAGGAATGCAGGGTGGGAAACGCCAGTTGTTCTGTGATGATTTTAATGCAAGCTTGTTCCCTCTCCCATGCCCCGACTTAAATCTCCCTAGTACCGCTAACCCCCGGCGATCACCGAACCCCCGCTGCAGGTGCCTGCCCTTTCTGGGGTGTCCCTTCCCCACCACCCCCTGGACCTGTCTTCCCTGTTCAGTGTGTGAGCTCTGCAGGGCCAGGGCAACGGGGTCATTTGGCTGGGATCCGGTCTTCCTCCCTGCAGCCTGCCTGCCTGCCCTCCCTAAGTAAGCTGACAGCAAATCCGTGGTGATAAAGGCCCGTGAGCTGTACGGCTGTGCTGTGAAACGTCAATCGGAGTTTGCCGGCCTGCCCTTGGGGTGCTCTTAGTGCTCTGAGCCCCACTGGAGCAGGGTTGGCTCAGCTGTCTGCTGTGGGTCGCTTCCCCACTATCTGCCACAGGTAGCACAGCCTAAGGCCATGTGGAGGGAGAGGCAGCGTCAGGCAAGGAACTGCAACCCCATTTCAGTCTCAGTTTTATAATGCTCCAACCTCTTTCTCCCCCTCTTGAATCAGTCATCCGATGCATGGGCCCCAGGCAGGTGCAAGGCTGCTTTCACCTGACTCCAACTGGGATGTCCCTGGCTCGACTCCCTTGCTCACTGCTGCCTTCTCCTCCTCCCCCAGATGCCGCAGCCCCCATGGAGGCCATGCTCAATGCCAGCCGCCTGCAGCTGGCCCATCTCCGGCTGCGCCTTGCCGAGCCCAGCTCCCTAGCAAAGAAGCTGAGCTACCTGCAGCGGGAGGCAGAGCAGCAGCAGCAGCAGATCGAGGCTTTCGAGAGCGACCTGGAGGAAGTCCTCGCCGACAAGCAGAACTTGGAGGCCATCCTGCAGAGCTTGCCTGAGGGCTGCTCCAGCTGGCAGTGAGCAGAGAGCAGGCCCTGGCCCCGTGCATGCCCCCACCCTCACCAGGAACGTCAGAGCCAAGAGCATCCCGCTGGTGCTCCCAGGGGCACCTTGCACTTCTCCTGTGCTCCTTGTCCCAGCTTCCCATCCAATAACGTGTCACGGTCAAGGTGCCTGGTCCTTCCTTTCGAGGAGCTCGCTGGAACGACAAGCGCAGCCCCACGCTTCTCCCCATGCCCCCTGGAACTGCGACTTGCAAAGCTGAAGCTTCTTTATGCAGGACATGGAGTGTGTGGGGAGCAGAGGACCATCATGCACCTCCCAGCCAGGTGCGCTGCTTTACCTGCCTTCCCCCAGCAAGCGTGGAACCCGGCGCATGGAGAGGATTGGATACACCCAAAATTGGGGATAAAAAATGGTGCCCTCCCAGTTTCTCCTGCACACGAGGCCTTCCCATATGTGTCAGAAGCTGGTCACTATGGGTAGTGTCCTGCACTGGCTTTGGGCATGGGGATATGAGCTGCTCTCAGCAGGGCTTCTTCAAAGGGAAGTCTGCAACCTGTCTGCTCCGGGAAAGGGAAGGTTAATGGGCACTGGGGTGGGGGCAGAACAGGAGTCTTCCCTGGGCCTGGAGCAGCTGCGGGTGGCTAAAGTTGCTGGTTCTCCCCTCACCATGTTCTGCCTTCTCCAAACCAGAGTGAGGCCAATTGCAGAGAAGGCCCCTTTTGTGATCTCCCTTGGGTTGGTTTTGCATTGGCATCACTCCTGAGTCCCGTTGCTGCCAGGAGGAGCAGCATCGAGCCCTCAGAGGTGCTTAGCTTTTAAGTTCATTCGAATCGGCACTGGTGCCCTTCCCAGTGGGAAGCCATGGACTCGTGTAAACCTACAAGTCCAACTGCTGGAGCGGGCTGTGGGGCCCTGTCTGGCAGTGATGTACTTGGCCTGTTCCCTTCCCTGTCGGCCCTAGGAGAACACCTGGGCATCTCCAATCCATGCACAAGCTCTCCTTTGTTGATCTAAATGTCAAGCTATTGCCACGTGCCCGGCACAGAAGACGATGTCATTCTTGCTCCTTCCCTGCCTCTCTGCAGACCTGTTGTCTCAGCCGATGCCACATGTAGCTGTATCCATTTTAAAAATCTTAATATAACACATAGATCACAATCGGCTTTCTGGTAGTGGATGGGTTGTGCAGTGGGGAGGAGGACAGGTCACCCTGACTGCGGCTGCCCCCGGAAGGCTCCCAAAGCTCTGCCTGGCTAGGGTGATGGTACCCTACTCTGTGGCCTGGAGTCCCAGCTCTAGCTAGGGGTGAGGCCGGCCTCTTCCCTTTCTCACCCCCTGCTTCTTGCAAGTCACCAGCAGGAGCTCGACCCTCCTGAGCTCCACCTAACAGGGTCACAGGAGGCCTATGGGCCAGGCTGGTGGCTTGGGACCCTAGAGACCTGGGTCCAGTGTGAGGGCATGTGAGGATAAATGCTTAGTGGCAGGCGCATGGTAGAGGGGTTGGTAGCAGCACTGCAGCAGTGAGGGTCTCCTAGCCCCCAGGCTCAGGCTTCAGAGCATCAGGGCTCTACCTACAATACTATTAAACCCTGGGGTGCTGGGATGAGCAGAAGCAGCTGTCAGCATCTAGCTCAGGTTTGAAAGGCAGAGCGGGGTCTCTGGTAGGTCTCCAGGAGTGCTGGGGATCGTAGGCGCCGACTTCTATTTTTGCTGGAGAGGGGGCTAAGATGATGGACATGTGGAAAGTGTTATGCATTTTAGGTGACAGCCCTCTTCCCGAGGGGGGCCAGGGCCCTCGGGCCCCCACATACTGAGCGTCTTTGCAGAGGGTGGGGGTGGCGCAGGGAAAAGGAGCTTGGAGCAGGGATGTAGGAGCACGTGCTTGGCCGGGTTAGGGCCCCCCAGCCCTGCCTGCATGGGCAAGTTGCACCTCCTGCCAGGGGTTTGGGCTCCCAGCTGGTGACTCAGAGCCTTGGCTTCTCCCGCCAGGGGCCAGGCCAGAGGCCTCACCCAGCTCTATTGTTCTGCTGCCTTTCTTTGCTTTTTTAAAAGAAAATACTGGGATGGGAGGGGACTGGAGTGCACAGCCCAGGCCAGGGCCAGCCTTGGAGACTGACCAGAGAGCTGCTGGACAAGATCCACCTTATGTCCCCCCATTTCCCCAGCTCTACTGGGGTACCTCTGTGCCCTCTGGCTGCCCCACTCCTGCCGTGACAATGCACCCTCCACCCTGGCCCAGGCACACCGCGTAGCTCTGTGCTGGCCTCTCCTTCCCATCTTAGGTTTCAGTTCTCAGCAAGCGAAGTAGAAATCTTGCTGCAGTGCCCTGCTGCGGGGCTATGAGGCAGCCCTCCCTGAGTTCACCTCCCAGCCAGCACCCTCATGCTCTGGGGCACCCACCCTGGAGGCTCCCCGGGCTGGACTCCGGACAGGGAGGCTGGGTCCTCAGGCCTGTTCATAAGAGCTCAGGGGGCCTGAATCATTCATGGCCCACACTAGCCTTCTCTTTGCTCTTCCCTGGGGCCCAGTACATTATCCCCGCTGGGCCATGAGAGCTCCCACTAGCACGGCTGTGGTTGGACACACGTAAGGGATCCCTGCAGACTAGGGGCACAGGAGCTGAGCGGGTCCTGTGGCCAACGGAGAAAGAGCCAAAAAGGGAACAACATAACCCCCGTGGGTCTCCGGTCCTCAATCAGCATCAGGCTGGATGATGCCCCCCACCAGCCTGGCTAGCAGCTCCACATCCCTGTATGCTGGTCAGAGGATGTGTAGCTCTGGTAGAGACTGGTGGGTCCAGGGGTAATGGGCTGGTGGGTCCTTTTGGCTCCAGGGCACTGCTTTGAGGCTAACACTGGTCACACTGACCTCCTCCCCGACAGCCGATCTGTGGAGGTGAGCTGAACTGCTCGTTCTCAGCCTTGTGCTTAGAAAGCAGGTGTCCGCATCACCGAGCTCCCCTGCAGACAGCTCTTGTCTTTGCACTGGTGCCTTAGCGGACGCCTTAGCAGATGCATCTCAGAGCAGGTCAGCAGGGGCCTCTGGGCTGCAGGCTTCAATCTGACCCCTTCCGCCTGTACCAGGTGTATCATTCCCAGGAATCCTAGTTTTCTTTGATTTAAAAAAAAAAAAATACCCATTTTTTGGTTTAAAAAAAACTAACCTCAAATCCACATTTTTCCGCGATTAAAATGTAACACCACTATGTCCGCGTGTATACACGTAGTGATGTTACGTTTCAGTGTAACGTATCATGCACATATAGGTATGCGTAGGTTGGGCGGGAGGTGAAGTCGGACGGCTCCTCCGAGCCCGTTTCTCTCTGACTGTCTGAAAATGCAGCCTGCCAGGCTGCGAAACAGCGGGCGCGCCTGCAGCGTGGGCACGAGAAAGGAGAGCGCGGGTGAGCAGCGGGGGCACGAGGCCGCCAGCGCCAAGTAGGTGCATTGGCGCTTGAGGTCAAAGAGGTGCCCTCGCGCCCCCCTGCAGAGAGCTGCCAGTTCTGAACCGACTGCCCCGGTGCCCCCGCTCCGCTCCGGCGCGCAGCCTCGCAGCACGGCTGTCCCGTTTGACACCCCTGTAGACGCGGGCTGAACACGTCCGGCGTCTCCCGCGCGGCTCTCGGCATCTCCCTGCCCATGCCCGGAGGGGGCGGGG